GGGCGGGGAGGGTACCTGAGGTCACCGGCTCCGCAGGAGAGGCAGGGGCAGCACGGCGGTGGCAGGATTGCGGAGCTGCTGGGTCCATCCGACCCTTACCCTCAGCCGGGGAAGTAACCGTAAGTCTCGCCTTCGCTGTGCGGGTCTGTTTAAGGCTGTCTCAACCCATTTTGGGCTCAGAGTTCAGCGCTGCCTAGTTCACGCCCTCCCGCGTCTCCTGCAAATATGCCTCCCTGCTTTTGAGGAGGATTGTCTGTCTGTCTGTCTGTCCCCATTCCTGAACGGGCAGTATCCTCTGTCTGCCCCATTGGTTTTTTTTTTTTTTTTTTTTTTTTTGCCAATGAATTTGCAAGCCTCTGGTCTCCGTGGTGCGTCCCATCCTCCCCATTCTGGATGCATCTCCTTGTCACTGTCCTCAAAGGATCTGTGTCCTCCCAATTTTTCTTTCTGTACCCTGGACTTTAGAGCCTCCTCCGCCCATCCTTTGAGATGTGGAAAGCCACGGAATCTTGAGGGCAGGAAAGCCTGCCCATCACGAGGGCTAGAGTCTTGAACGGATGGATGAAAGTGCTCTGCAGGGCTTGGATGGGTGGGGAGAGGTGCAGATGGTTCTTGTGAACCTTTATTTTTGCAGCTTCTGCCACCAAAACAAAAGAATGGGCCTCTCTCTTGGACCTTTATTCCTCTCCCTTCCTAAATGTGTATAAGCTGTTTTCTGTATGTCGCTGTTTGAGTAGCAGGAAATTGGAACTAGAGCAGTAATTAAGCATCTCGTGAGGAGGTTTTCAGAATTAGTCTCACAAGCTCTATTCATACGGAACGGCATATTGAACAATCTTTTATTGAAATGAAGACCAATTGCCGTAAGAGCTTTACTAGTAGATCTGAGAAATGAATGTGAAAACAGAAGTCATGTTTCAAATGTGTTTTGGGTACCTTTTGATAATTTTTAGTGTTTTGGATTTACAGTTCTTAATTTACAAAGTATGTGTATGATGTGAAATCTTTGCATTAGAAGATTTCATTTTGTTAGTAAAAAAAAACCCACTAAAGTGATTTTTAAATATCATGTCAGATTATATTTGATATTATTTTAAATCCTTAATTCTGAGACCTTTTTCACTGATTTGGACCAACCACCTACAGATGTTACAAACGGTGGTGCTTATGACCTTCTTTCCTGCTTCTTAGTTTAAAAAAGAAATTAACTATTTCCAGATTTTGGAGTAGGCACTTTTTCTCATGAAAATTTGGTTTGCTTTTTAATCTGCCACTGCAGAACTTTCCAGAAATTAGATTTAAAAATAGTTTTAATGCTGCCAGTAACTGGACAATAGCTCTTACATGCCTTTATGCATTTGATACTTTTCAAGGCACTTTAGGAAGCAAATGATAAGAATAATTTTACTTTGTGTATTACAGATTCTTGGTTATTATTCTGTTAACTTCTGTAATATTAACTGTTAGCATTTTTTTTCTGAAAACATCATTTTGTTAAAGGTAGGTGTGTTTAATGATTTTTTTTTTTTCAAAACCTCCTTTGAGCAGTTAATTTGGGGCTATTATTTGATTTGTAACTTCATACCGTTCACAGATTTTAGTTTGAATTAGGCTCAGGAGATGCAGATCCAGCTCTCTGGAGATGTACTTTACTGATTAGTTTCTGAAGCCAAGCACTGTGTAGAGTATATTATTAAGGGTGTAGTTTTTGCTTTTCTAAAGTTGATCAGTTTCCAAATATGAAGAGTGGGGTGCTGTAGTGAGGTGATGGGCAATAACTTGGAAAGGTCTTTTTTTTTTTTTTTTTCTAAGTCCACTGATCCCTGTTATCCTTGGAGGTAGGGTATGGAAGATAGGGCTATAGTTTCATATTACTCTTTTTCCCTTGCCCACTGCTCTGAGAATTTTGAGTCTTCATTATGAAAGGTTTCTGAAACCCAGCAGACTGTGCCCTAAAGTGTGGGCTCTCACAGGTGGCTGCTGAGACATGGGAGAGTTTTGTTAGCTATTCTTTTTTACTTCTATAGCACTGCCCACTTTTGAGAGAGTAGATTTTCTTCCCTCTTTTGCTGAGATGTGCACTTGAACTGGTGAAAGTGAAATATGTGTATTTTTAACTTAATTGTAGGTAAAAGTTTAATTTTCATGTATAAATAGATGGAATAACTATGAATTAAATTTATCTGATTCTTCTTGAATGGAAGTTAGAAAAGATTCCTCAGTGCTTTGGGTACTTTTTCCACCTTTGAGGACCCATTTTTTAAGATGAAATTTAAAAATACTTCTGTCTAATATTAGACTTTATATATGACACATTTGCCAAAACATTTGAGAGTGGCTCAGTCATTATTAAAAAGACCAGTCTGAAAAGAGTTTCTATGCATGGTTCTAAAAATGCTTAGGTATTTTGTTTCTGTTCTTGAAGTGACTTGCTAATTTTAGTACTCAATTTATTTTACAAACAACCTCAAACTACCTCTTTTTTTTTATTTTCTAGAGAACTTATTTTCATACTTCATTTCAGTAAACCTTCATTGAATACTTACTATGTGTGCTAGGCACTGTGTTAGATTCTGGGACTACAAGGATAAATAAGATTGTTTTCCTCATTGAATTTGACAATCTAAGTATTTAACTGAGTCTGTCCATCTGCCTTTACAGACTTCTCTAATAGGTTTTTAAGTCACTTGTCTGTGTTTCATGTCGTTTCTATAATAGTAAGTACAGTAAATGCTGTTTATTGAGTGCTTAATTCTTGCTGGCTACCATGCTAAGTGCATTATATACATTATCTTATTTAATTCTGTGAACAGTCCTAAGAAGTATTTTATCTTCATTTATTTATACATTCTGATTTATAGTGATGCTGAATGTTGTTTTATTTATAGTATGCTAGAAAAGATTTGACCTCTTGATTTCTCCTTAAGCAGAAGAAGTTGTAATATAGTTACAATAGATCTTAAGTCCCGAATAATGCTTTGAATAGAAAGATTCTAATTTCATAAGGTATTAGTTCCTTTTGTTTTCTAAAGTAGATGAATTGCTATCAAAATGTAATTTTCAGTTGTTTAAACCTTTGAAAAGACAATTCTAAAGTTCATTATAATTAACTGTAACATAGGTCTTCAGGCACATATAACTTTTTTCTAGTTCAGCAGTGGGACCAAGAGCTTATCACATGTACTAAAAAATGTGTGTATTATTCAGGAAGGAGAGAGTATTGAGGTATATTCAGCTTTAATTTCTTTTTTAGTTTAATTTTGACAGACATCTAAATACCTTGGAGAGTTTTGGTTTCTGTAATGAAAATGTATTCTTTCCGATTTAAAAATGATCTTCCTCATCTATTAGTGGAATATGTGCTTTATCAGCAATTTAGTATGGTTCAGTCTCATCATTTTTCAGACCCTCTCAAAACATTTGAAAGATGATGTATCTTCCACTGTCAACACTTTTTGCCAAATCCTCATTTGTATTCTAAATATTCTGTTGTTGTTGTTGTTGTTTTTTTTTTACCAAAAACTGCCAACAGTTTGCCATCCTTTAAACTAAGACCTTTTGCTACTGGTTACATACTCTTCTGTTTTTAGGACCATTAGACAGATAATTATTCTTTCTCTAAGTTCCTAAGAGAGGTAGTCCTTGATTTTTTTCTGCCCTCAGTCTGACATATATATTTTAACTTGACATAGACAGTTTCCCCTTTTCAATGTAGCAGAATCCTTGATACTCAGGTCACTGTATATTCTGACAGGAACAATATTAGGGGTAGAATTCCTGTTCAAGGACAGAACAGTGACTAAATTATAAATGTATTAGGTGCTGGGACCACAAAGATGAATAAGTCAAGATTCTTTTTCTCAAACTATAAAATGCCTGTTTAAAGTCCTTGAAGAGAAAGGAAGGTTGATTTGAAAACATTGAGATGCTCTTCTCCAAACAGGCATACAAACACTGCCTTCCATGATAATGTATTCCTTCAGAGTATTGTAAAGGAAGGTATATAAATAAACTTTAAGCCAGGATTTTCATTCACTTTTGTGACCTCAGACAATAGCCAGTTGTCATTTGCTCTAGTAGTAGATGTTCTATATCATATATTTATTTCAGATTTTAAAAAAATTATTTTGAAATAATTTCAAACTTACAGAAAAGATTCCAGAACGGTACAAAGTACTCCTTCACCCAGATTCCACCATTGTTAATTTTTTATTACTTTTCTTCTTTGCCTACCCTCTATCTTTCTATCTCTATACATATATTATATATGTGTGTGTATATAAATACATACCCATTATCATAGTTTTTTTCTGAACCTTTTGGAGCAGGCTACAGACATGTCCCCTCACCCATAAACACTTAGTGTCTCTATCTCAGAAACAAGGTATTCTCTTATATAACCAGCATATAACCCTCCAAATCAGAACATAAGCATTGGTACAACACTACTATCTAGTCCTATTCAAATTTCATCAAATTTCATCGACTATCCCAACAATATCTCTTTTCTGGTCCAGGATACTATCCAGGA